CAAATCCCAAAACGAATGCTTGTGCCATCAATAAATATACTTAATCTCACTTGAATTAGAGGCGAGTTGATGCTTCAATAGATTTAAATTGGAAATCGAAAACCAATCAAGGAAGATAATTATGGTACTCACAATTGACAAGGGGTGGACGTACACATCTAAATTGTCTGGGACAATTCTCTCAGGACCATTGGATTCCTCAGCAGGAAGAGATGTCCCATACCCCGTAGCACTATGGTATTGCAAAGAGATGGAATCATACCCTATAGGCTATAGGGCATGGTGAGCTCCATGACAACATAGGCAACTATTTGCGTGAGCTCGAGGGAGATGCTCTATTGACTACTGTGTGCATCTTGAATAGAGTGTCTTCAAGAGATGTGTCTAAAACCCACTTAAGAATTTATGGACCAGTAAGAAACCTAGATATGTGTCTAAAATCCACTTAAGAATATAATCCCACTTGTAGGATAGTAGTAGACTCCATAACCGAGCCTATAACTTGAGAGAAGTGTAAGGCTCAAGGGATTGGGAGCTAGGAGTCCCTAATTGGTTTTTTGTACCATCATCATTGTCTGACTCTTGTGTACATGGATGTTGTTTTTGGATTGACTTTTACCATTTATTTGAGAGGTTTATGGTAGTGCAGTTGGTTCGATGCACATACACATCTTTGATTGCACATTTACACTTGGGTAATAAGACACATGTTCATTGTGAGACAATAATCAGCTGGATTGGTCCGCTTTTTCGCACAACTTTGACACCTTCAATGCATGGGAAATTGGAGGATGAGACACATGGGGTGTGTATCACCTCGATAAGAGATTGAGATGAGATTCCATGATAAGGAAACGACATGATCTATTTGGGTTTCCACTAGATCATGTAGCATGTATGATAGCCAGGTGTGAGCATCGGAAATGTTCAAGAATGTCTCTTTGGTGAAACCCTGGGCACATTATATGTGACAAGATGCATATCTGTGACCAAACTAAGACCTGCATGTGTTCGACATAAATTCCAGTATTGATTATCATTTACACTATGGCATGTCTGACTCACACCACAAGTTCTTAGCGAGACCGCCATTACTTTATAGGGAGTGTATAGGATGATCCTTGTTCCCTATTATGCCATGCAAGAAATAGCCGGTCACACAGTGACCTGAATGTCCTTATAGACCCGGAGACTATAGTAGGAAGTAGAGGCTGGATGTCACTACTCTAGTGTGCCACCCCCATGGTCATGTATGATTAGGAAAGCAGTCAAGTCAAGGCCGAATAATGGTAGGGGTAGGGGAAGACCATTGGCATCACACCATAGTTGGCGCCTAGATAACTAGTGCATGACATGAAACTCATCAACTGTACAGCAATCATAAAAGTTTTACCGAGAATGTTCTCTTGAAAATGTTTTCCACAAACTATAAATATAATACAATATATTATTTGCAAATGAATTTCTCGGCTTCCATGATAACAATGTTTTGATGGATGAGCTGGACAATTGTGCACAAAAGTGTTGAGTAGTCTCCTGAGCATAGATAGCTAAAAGGGGATCAGTTCAAATACTCAATCTGGTGCAACCAAGTGTGTATAGGGCAAGCTAGAGCAGTTTTGAATAAGAGAGAAGAGATGTTCCACGTTTGTCTGATGGACACTAATGTGGTTCTCTCTGCAGAGATGCATTACTCCTTAAGATCTCACAATGTGTTTCTTAGTGGAATATAAGAGAGTCCTTGTACTTGATGTATCGCAAGATGATGACGATGGAGCATAACATCTTTCTGTATGCCCATTGCAGGATGAGTGGGAGATATTAGATTTGGAAGCCGCCCCTCGTGGGTGTAGGGACCTCCATGAAATTTTTAATATTCTTAAAGGTAAATAAGGAGAACGTCCATGGTGTTGTTGGACCTGTACATGGTAGTAAGAGAGGAAAAGGGAATTATATGTGACAATGACATGGATTTCCAATTGAGGATAAAGTTAGTTTGAGATAATATTATCCAAAATAAGAAAGAATTATATGTGATAATGATATGGATTTCCAATTGAGGATAAAGGTCACGGTAGAGAGAGAAGAAAAGGGAATTCTATGTGATAATGATATGGATTTCCAATTGAGGATAAAGTTGGTTTGAGAGAATATTATCCAAAATAAGAAAGAAATCTTTTTTTTTATAGGATTCCCTCATGGGACAGTCTTATATAAAAGGGTCAAGGGACAGAAAAAGTAGAGAATTCTCATGAGATTTACGTGCCTCTCAAAAAGAGTTTCTCTCTTTACACTAAATCCTCCCGCTCTCTCTCCTAGTTCTCTCTCTCTAGAAACCCTAGGATAAGAAAACTCAAATTGGTCATTCAAGAACTTTCAGGCCTTCCGTCAAAGGCTCGGGATTTGCACCGTGTATACTATACTTTTAGTTCTCGTAATTAGAAGTCAACCTAAGGTTACGGGCATCGAACTCTCGACCCAGAGGAGCTACACTTGAAAGGAAGAGAAAAATCACAACAACCGCAAAAGGGAAATTGGATTACAAAATGGTACATAATCTCTATCTGATCCTTATCGTTTAGAGTGAAAATCTAGTAAGAAAATTTTCATGTCCTCCTGTTTTTTACTCTAAACTTAATCAAGTTAACATGAGTTTAGAATAGGGGGTTCTATCAAATTATAATCTACCGGTGGATCAACCTCAAAAGCGAGACGAATCCCTCTGCAGATTACGGTTATCGACTGGGCCAGCTGATCATGTGCACCAAAAATCAAACTAAATAGAATGAAATGATAAAATAAAATAAAATAAATAATTACAATAATTAAGTTGAAAGAAGAGTGTCAGGCCTACTAGCAAGGCACCAAGAGTTGGTACCAAGATTAGACCGCTCGAATATGGTCACCTTCTCCTTCTTTGGGAAGTTAGTCAAGATCACCTTTAACTTAGGATGTAGGGTAAATGAAATCATAAGGCTATATTCCCCGGGGAATTAGGCTCCAAGTTCCTTTTAGTTTAATTTGGTCCTTCATGACTAGAATAGGTCCGTCTGTTTTTAATGCTGAAGCTAAGATCAAAGCTAAGGTCTATGGGGTTTGGAACTTTGTCTCAAGGGGTTTTAGCTGACTAAAGGGGTTCCACCCGAGAGCCATGTCAAGTGTGCCTATCTATAGGCATATGCTCCTCACCATAGTGTCAAGCATATGTGGCATGATTTAGACCATCTAGGCTGCGTAACATGGTATGCACTGTTAAGCACAGGCACATGGAATCGCTAAAATTGAACAACCTATTTTCCATGGGCTGATTTCTGGTGATTTGGTCTGATTTTTGCGTATTTTCGAATCGGGATTCAATTTTCTCGTTCAACTCTCGCTTATGTGCCCAATCTTAACCCTTTTAAGGAGGATTTGAAGATTTTCAAATATTTTTCCATGCTCTTTAAGGAGTACAGACCATGATTGAGGGCATCCTAAGGTGTACAAAGCTAGTGTGGTCCCTAGAATTATTTCCTAAGGTTTTAGGGATTGATTACATTTGTTATAAGGGTTCAACTGGGGTTAAGTGCAGGTTTAGGACTAAGAGGCCATTTTAAGAATTTGGTGTCTACACTTATGCTTTTGTGTTTCCCCAACATCAGGATTCGATGAGTCCAACAAAATCCAAAGTAACCCTCCAAGGTAGCATGCCTGGAAGCATGAGAAAAAGCAAAAGACACATGAAAATGGCGGAAAGTATGGCCCATTGATCATAATATGGCAAGAGATATAAGAATAGATGTCTTGTAAGAAAATCTTAAGAATGATCATCCCTATCCACCAGATTGCGGCCAAAAGGAACTTAGCGTTACCCTTGGCAGAGAGATTATGCCACTTAGCTCTGGTGATGGAATCCACTATGGCCATGAATGCTTCAGTCAAAAGCTTTTGTGGAATTTTGACCAGGAACATCAATGACAGCATTGTCTTAAAAAAAATTGCAAGTGTTTCTTCGGAACATGCCATTTTTCTACGATATATATGGGATGATAATTAAGGAACTCTACCTTGACAGTTTCAAATCATTGCAATGTCAAGGGGAAAAATCCATCACTATCCAGCATTCCTTCATAAGATGAAATGCTTTAAAATAAGTACAATCCATGTTCTATTTTTTATAATTAATGATTCTAAATACATGAAAAATGTAAAAGCCCGGGTTTATAATGGTAAGCCCACATAAACTAGCTAAGCATCCAGATGGTGATGAAGGGAAATAAAGCCACCAACAAAGATCCCGGGATGAGACTTTTACTCCATGATCAAACATTTGAACCCAGCTTGTGAAATCCCACGACCACGTCTCCGAATTTGTTTGTATTCTGTGTATGTGTTGCTCAAAACAACATCATCTTCTCCAAAATATCCCACTACCATTTGCCTCAGTTTCCATTTGACCCCTCATTGTCAACTCTACTTCCCTTTCCCCAAACCATTCTTACCCTTCTCTCCTTTCCAAACCCCACCTATCTATCATATTTTCCTTTTACTCTTCCAGTTCTGACTTTAACCTGCATTTCCCTTCAATTTCATCGGATACATTCTAAAACACCAACTAGTCAATCCGACTCCAATCCAAGGCTCCAAGCAAAACCTGTCATCTTCCAATTCCAAGAGAATACTACCAAATGATTCGTCTATATTTCAGAATGTGTTTACTGAAAATTTGAGCAATTCTATGGTGTAGCAATTATTTGATTAAATGAACAGGAAAAAATTCAAAGTTTCAAACATAAAAATGAACTGAAATTCAAATTCACTATCAACTACATCATTTAAAATTCCTAATGAAAACCATTGCAATTCAAATTGAAGTTAATAATTTGAGAACTAAAATCACAATCCACATATCGTTCATCTTCAATTTCCAACATCAAGAAATGGAAAAGCTCAAGCTGCAGTATAGACAACAAAAATAGCTATGAATCATATAATTTGTGTTCCAGTACATGATTACCCACCCGAGTGCTCTACTGAATGCTGTTGAAGGAACTCTTCTCTCTCTAGGTTTTCTCCTCTTTACAGGCAAGGCCTGCACTTGAGTATTTCCATCATCATTGCCCAAAATATCTTCAGTCCTCTGCTGTGAAGTATTGGAACGTCCAGAATCAACAGAAACCGAACCAGCATTGACCTCCTCAGAGATCGGGGCAGCTGCCTCTACCCTCCCATTTACAGTTTCATCCGATGAACTAAGCTTTTCTTCCTGATTTGTTCTCGAATTAGGGTTTTCAGAAGAGTCAGAGAAATAAACAACACTTTCCTTAGGTCCAGACAGAGAAATCTCTCGTTCCTTTCCTTTAGTTAATCCTGCTAGGTCAGTTGCAGAAACTAGGGCTTTCTTGAGAGAGGAGGCAACGAGTGTTTTAACGTCGCCATTCTTTACAGGTTCGTAGGCGTAAGAACGTTTCGCTAGCTCCTTGAGAACCAGAGATGCGCCATGGAGTAGCCTTTGAAGATCTTTAGATGAAGCCATGAATGTACTTCTGTTTTGTTTCCCTCCATTTATATGGAGCGAGAGCTCTGGTTTTTGGCCTCCATCTTTCTATATATCGTGCGTGGAGGGCTACCGACCATGCGAGGAAAAGGGCCGCAATTCGATGGGGCATGAGATCTCATATTAGTTTCATTATTTTATTTTTATTTTTATTTTTTTTTGGTGAGTTAAAAACATAGAACTAGAATATTTGAAAATTAATTTGGGTTTTGAAATTAATTTGGGTTTATGTACGGGACGTAAAAAAAATCGAGGTGATTTTCTACTTAAAGCAATTGATTGAGAAATGTGAAAGGAAGAGAAAAAAGACTTTTACGTACTCATTATTAATTTAAAGAAATACATAATCTTTTTTTATATAGAGAAAAGTTGTGATAGAGTAGCTAATAAGATATATATATATATATATATATATGATAGAGCGGATTGGTGAGAGATATATATTATGAAACGCTAACTAGTATACAGACAAGTTGTAGAGAGAAGTGAGTTTTTAATAACAATAAGCCTAAAGGTCGACATTAAGCCCAAACATTTTTATCATAATTATGAACGCCTTAATTAGGCACCTACATAATGAGATATTGTGGTGCTTGATGAATATCATATATTTAATTCATATTTCACCCATGGTGTGTCTAACAAAATTACAATTTAGATCAAAAAAAAAAAACAAAGGTAATAGTCTTACATTTATATTTGATTTACTCATTTCTATTTTAGAAAAATACACGATGCATTTGCGGTAGACTACATAAATAGTGGAGACGAGAGTATGAGAGAGGGAAGAGTAGAGATGAAGGTAGATGAGGAGTAGATGTTTACAGTAGACTACAAAAATGGGACGGGGCCTTTTTAATTTTACCAGTTCTATGGAAGATGTGGCATCTCAAATTGTGGGATATTTGGGTGCTACCACTTCCCAAATACTGCAGCACTCCCACCTAACAAACACGTACTTGTTGCTATTTATTGGATATGCCCCTTTTTTAAGCCCCCGTTCCCAGCAAATAAACATGCCCTTGGACTTTTAAATAGATAAGCATGTTGATGATTGCTTCTTTTTTATTTGGAACATGGTTTGATAGGGATGTAGCTATATCAAAATAAGCAAAACTTTACTTCATAAATCATCTCCAATTACAATTCAAGTGTTGGAAAACATTTACATCTATCATCTCGACTTGATTATTATGGCTGTGAAAAAAATAGGATTTCAAGCTTTAAAAATATTACATATTATAATAAATTATCTAAGCCGTCTATTTTGCCCTAAAAAATAAGTGTTTGCATATCCACAATATATATATCATTTTTTTTGTTTCTAATTTTATTGTTGGTTTGGAGATTAATTTTAGATCTATGGATATTTCATTTGCCAAAAGTACGAGGCTTTATTTTGTTTTCATAACCTTTTAGAAATCTCGTTATTTTTTATTTTTTTAGTTTACGTTGTGTGGAAACCTTTTTTATAACTTCTATTTTTTAAGGAAATAATGGAAGTCGAACAACATGATTCTCAGCCAACCTTTGAGAAATTGCCTCCATAGATGTTCTTCTCATCCCAAACGACGTTACTCACTTTCCATTGAAAATGTCTAAAACATAATTTATCCCATGTTTTCATTAAAAAAAAAATGTTTTCTTGGGTATGGACTAAGTACAATTACCAAAAATTTCCCTTACTCCATAAGTTCGGTCCCAAACCCCCACCATTTTATAAGTTTGCCCTTGATTCCATATTTCAAATATCATGCCAGTTTTATTTGTTACTTTTGATTTTTTGATCTTCGCATAGCTGCGTGATGTCTAAGATATAAGATGACCCCATTTGTAGGACGACTCGATAATGGAAACAACATACACCACTACGCTTAAAAGTTTATGAGAAAATTACGTAGAAATCCGTTATAGTTTACGTTATTACGATTACACCAAATAGTTTCCGTTATTCTACAGCTGTCCGTTTTTTAATCTTCTATAACGCTATTTTTTAAAAAATACATCTTTGCCCATTTTCGGATGTTCAACATCCAAATTTTTCAAATTTTCGGATGTTGAATATCCGAATTTAGCCGCAAGTCAAATGATGCTTTTTCCCATTTCTGATGTTCAACATCCAAAAATATCAAAAATTCGGATGTTGAACATCCAAAAATATCAAAAATTCAAATGTTGAACATCCGAAAATGACTGATAGTTGAACAAACAAAAAAACCTTGCTACTATTAGTGAGGTTTTCCAAAAAATGCTAGCTGAACATCCGAAAACCCTCGCTGCTACTGTAAACCTTGCATCATCTTCAAAATTTACCGTGGCTGCTGTTTCGAAGTTTCAACCTCCTTCATCTTATTCAACAAGGTTTTGCTTGTTTTTCATTATTATTTTTATTTCAAATAAATCATTGTGCTCTACTCCGCATCTAATGGTCCTAGTGATTATATGCATCTAATGGTCAAAAAATACATCAGTATAGAAGTTACATTTTGGTGGTTTTATTTCTACTATTCTCTGCATCATTTTGGTGGTTTTATTTTTACTATTGGTTTTTTTATTTTTTACTAGGTCTTGTTGTGCATATGATGAATCCCTAAAAATACATCAGTATAGAAGTTACATTTTGGTGGTTTTATTTTGACTATTCTCTGCATCATTTTGGTGGTTTTATTTTACTATTGATTATTTTATTTTTTCCTAGGTTTTGTTGTGTATATGATGCATCCCTAAAAATACATTAGTATAGAAGTTACTCGATTTCTTATTGTTGGGAGTGAATTTCTTACTCAATCCCTAAAACTACATTAGTATAGATGTTATTCAGTATATGATGTATCCCTAAAAATACATCAGTTTGACTATTCTCTACATTATTTTTACTGTTGGGTGTGAATTTATTAATTGTTTATTCACTTTTTTGATATAATATTGGACTCCTTTAGTTGCATTTGATAAATTTATCAATTTTATGAAATGTATGGTTGCCCAATTAGTGAAGATTTGTGTTGGTGAAATTTGTGTGGTTTTTTTAATTCCTATTGTTCTTTTTGGGAAATTGGTGTCTTCTATTGAATGCTTATTGCTCCTCTTTTGAATCTATAAAATTGAATGGTTAAAATGGTTAACCTGATATATGCAAGTTGTGTGTTAGAAATAGGTATTAATCCAGATTTTTCAGTGATAGTTTACCAACGGGTGGTTGTTTTTAGGTGGTTTGATATAATAAATTTTGAATAAAACAAATCTTTAATTACCAGTAATTAGAAAACTACTAGGCCAACTAGAGACTTTCCCAAGTTGGCCTGGACCAACTAGAGATTTAGTTAAATTTCAAGAAACAATCAATTTTTTCGTTTAATAATAGCATGTCATTATTGTTTGTTCATTTGTTATCCAGTAAATTTATGTATATGTAACCTTCTGATTGACATAGTGACCATATGAGATTTCAGTGAATATGAATCATTTACATCCTGATGGAGGATATCCAGGAGGTCCTTAGGTAGTTTGCTACAACTTTATCCTGACATGCATCATATTTTATATGGGAATGACAAGTATATGCATATATTCATCTGCCCTTTCTGTTAATTTGTTATTTTTCAATAAATTGTACTCAGGTTCAAACATTCTATGAGAAGTACATGTATATGTATTCGGACTAATATGTTGTCTATTTGTTGTATTTCATGAGAAAGAATATATTAGAATTGATGAGAAGAGTTTTCAATTAAATAAATGGAAATTAACAAAAGATAAAGTTGAATTAGTTAACGTGTCTGGGTTGGGTCCCTTGTCTATCATTTAGTCAGGCCGAATTGATCATCCTTTTAGTCTCAGCTAATATAAGGAGGTGGCGCTCTCAGACCAATACAATTCATTTCAACATTCATATTGGTGAGATGACACCAACGTTATTTGATGTATACGAGACATTAGGACTGGCTGTGAATGGCGAGTCAGTTACATGTCGTCCTATCAGTGACCTGCAACAGTATATAGAAAACAATTTGGGTATAGTCCCTGATGGCAACCTGACAAGCCTGAAGCATACATAGTTGAAGGTGAATTTTAGGGAATGGCCACCTAATGCAACCCCTATTCAAGTTTATAGATATACTCGAGCATATTTGCTCTTCCTCATCAGTGTCACCATATTCACTGATGCATCAGTTTCAACAGTGTCAACAAGGTACTTGCAGTTTTTTGAAGATATTAAGGGAGCCAACAAATATGCTTGAGGTGTTGTAGCCCTTACATTCCTTTATCGCTCACTAGGAAAAGCTTGTACCTTCGAGCGAAGATATTTTAGTGGTTCAGCCACTCTCATATAGGTAACCTTTTTTTTTGTATATGACATAAGCGTTGTTGAATTTATTAAATAATCTTCGTTGCTGAATTTATTGCAGGGTTGGTCATATGAGCATATTATGCATATGAGGCCCATACCGCATAATATCTCTCCAAATTTGCCTAGGGCCAAAAGATGAGAACCCCCGAAGAAATATCATGGCAATCTACATAACCTAATGCCTCTCATCAGACAATAATTTGATAACCTCCAACCTAATGAGGTTAGTGTATAATTCGATAACCTCCAACCTAATGAGGTTAGTGTATAATTTGATATTGATTACTTTCAAATGTATTTAATCATTTGTAATTATTTTTATTGACTGATTGCATATCATATAATAAGTAATATGGAATCCCTATTTCAAGTTGATGAGGTCATTTCAGATAACAGACATGAGGCATTTGAAACTGCAATGTGCCTAACGACACTTATATTTGACGATATTGTCAAGTCGTACATGTCAAATCGAGTACATAGGCAATTTAGAGCTAAATAGGGAATTCCTATAAATCCTTGGTTGTTAGTAAGAGGGCTAGCAGACAAGGTGGACACCGAGATTGGTGAAATGTGAATGTAGATAAAATCCACCACTAGTTGTCTTGCCATGAGCGCATGATGCCTAATATTCAAGTAGATATTGACAATGGGTTGTCTTCAGAGGAGTACAAAGCCTGATACAATATAGTATCCCATCTTCTAATACATAATATCGTTAACCCACCCAAAGACATATTACAACCTCATAACTAGGAAGAAGAAGCAGAAGATGTGGTTCCTGCTCATGAACCACAATATATATGAGACCTCGAGGTTATGAGGACCAGTTTGTATGTTTATATTGACCTACAAATTCTTATAGTTTTGTATTTACTTATTGGTTGTATGAAATTATTTAAATATATTAGTCAGGTAATATTGTTTGTGTAGGTTAGTGCAGTTCAGGCATCTACAATCATGTTAGCAGATGCACTTACATTTAGACAGAAGTGGTATCCGAAAGTTTATAATCGCGTTAACAACGTGTTTGAAACATTGTTTAAGTTTATGCCTGTTGATATGGCTGACATAGAAGCCAGGATGACAAGTTTACAACGTGAATATCAGGACAAAGGTGTACTTGACGAGGCCGGACATGATGGATGGGTGAAAGTAGTCGGGCTGTAGAAGACCTAGCTCCATCCACACAACCATTTTTTAATGTGTATAGCAACTTAAAACATTTTTGGATGTTGAACATCCGAAAAATATGCCATTTTCGGATGTTGAACATCCGAAAAAGTTTTCATGTCAAAATATGACAATTTCGGATGTTCAACATCTGAAAAAAGATTGTCAAAATCCATAACTTCCTATATTTTGACAGTGCCATTTTCGGATGTTAAACATTTGAAAATATGTCATTTTTGGATGTTCAACATCCGAAAGTTGTTTAGACATCAGATTGATCATATGGACATCATCAAGATGCATTGTCAAGATAAATAAATGGACTTCAAGGTTTTATGCATGGACATGAGAATGATACATGGACATGACAACAATGATTGGCAAAGTCATAATAGTTTTAGAAGGGGCTCTAAATTTTCCATTATAATATTTATAATAACAACGAATTCCAATTGCACTAACATAATTTTGACAATAAAAACACAATATTCACTCAATTCATTAATTCATGAAAATCATAATTCCATACAAGAATACAATATTAACATCAAGTTCACTTTATCGATTCTCTGCATGTCCTCTTATTATGACCCTCTGCGTCGCATCGTTTGCACTTCAAATGCCTGGTGATTTGGATGTTCCGTCTCAGATATCCTTCATTGTTTTTTTAGCCTACCGGGAAGGCGTGTAGTCCTTAGTGGCAACATTGTATGATTGTAAATGCCAATCAACTCAATATCATCCAGGACAGGCGCAAAGGGAGTTTCAAATGTCTTTCTAAAGTATTATACTGTAAAATACTTAAGGCAGTACACAATGGGATCCAAATGCATATGGTTAATGGCCGCAATAGCATGGACACACTGAATGCCACTGAGTTGTCATTTTTTACAACTGCATGTCTAATGTGTTAAATCGACATCGTACTTCTTCTGAAAATAGTGGATCTCAAACTGTGTGTCCATGGCGGATATAATTGTGTGCAAAAATCGAGCCTTCACTTTCGCATGTCAAGTAATGATTGGGCCTTTAGTACTAGCATGCCTACAAGTATTAACTAACTCCCTCTTCTCTTCAAACTTGGTCGTCAACTGTACCCTTATTTATTCATACATTGTAATGATCGGGTTCTCTCAAGCCGATAAAATTCAAGCATTGAAAGACTCGACCATATTTGAGGTAAGATGACTATATCTAGACCCTGCAAAATAAGCATCTACCCAATATTTGGGTAGAATATTCTTAATCCAATCATATGCTTCTGGGTCAACACACTGTATACCAAACATTATTTTTTCAAACCCACCAATGGTCGCTTTACGAGCAGCCTTCCAAAACAGCATCATCAATACTTCAGTATTTGCTGACCTCTTTATAAAGCCATTGAAGTTCTCTCCCATATGTCGCATGCAAAATGATGGAAAACATGTATGGTTTTCTCAATATACATGGGGAGCTCATGGTATTGTTGTTTATGTGATCCATCTATCATCTCTTTAGCAAGTCAAGCTTGCATGTAGGAAAGCTTAACCACTCGTGATCATGTTAAACATCCTTTATAATGTCTTTTGCTTTAATTTTTTGTTGGTCAAGAAGGCGGCCTTTAATTTTTTTTGCCACACAATCACTACGAGCTAGTGGCTGATGGACCCTCCCCATTGGGCCACTACATGTGTGCTCCTTAATCATAGACTTCACGTTAAAGTATGCGATCTTGCCAACTCGTAAGCATCGCACTTGCCATGTGCATCCATCTACCTTGCAACTTGCCTATACCCGTCCTAATTCACTTTTGTCAAACTTCAAAACAAAATTGTTGTGGATTGCAAAATCAACTAGATGATGCCGGTATTCATTAACATTTTCAAAAAATTGCGCAACATTCAATTGAACCTCGTTACCAACTCCTCTACATAGACTCTCTAGTGGTTCAATGTCCTCCATATTACGCTTTGGTATGAGCTCAGGTTGGACACCACTCCAATGTTTTGATCTTGCTCAGGTAAAGCGTTACGCCGACTGTTGACAAAAAATAGAGTGTAAGATGAAGCAACAATTTCAGCACATAAACGATTAGAATAAAGCAATTTACAAATGAAAAAAATAAATTGTAGATATACATATTCCTTGAAGATGGCCCCTCAGAAACAGATTATTGTCATGCCTCAGCAATATACACTACAATTCTCGAAAATTCCCTTCCCAGCATAAAAGATGCATCTATATCATCACTAACATCAATTAAATCAAGCCCACTAGATAGACTTATGTTGTGGTACATAATAGCTATTTTGCTTGGATTACACTTGGTTTAAATTGTAAAATGACTTTTTAGTTTCTCCAAGTAACTATTCCCATTATACTTGGTGACCTTCAATTTTTTTCATTTATAAATAACACGTTCGTCATCTGCATTCGTCTCAAATTACCCCCCATATCGGAATACCAGTTGCACTCCCTCAGTAGCCATCATCAATACTATTGTATTAAATGAATAGCAAAGTTAGTGTTACAAAAAATCAATACAAAAAAATTATAAAAAATTGGTATATTTTTAGTACTTTAGGGTTCATAAAATCTGAGTATTGCACAATAGATTGAAATAGTGTACTACTAAAATTCCCAGTAGCCATCGTCAATACTCATGTATTAAATGAATAGCAAAATTAGTGTTACAAAAAATCAATACAAAAAATTTACCAAAAGTTGGGATATTTCTAACTACTCCAGGGTTCATAAAATCTGAGTATTACATAATAGATTGAAATAGTGTACTACTAAAATTGCGAATAATAAATATTAAACAAAAGAAAACAATAAATACTCATATAAACACAAAATAGACAGCAAATTTTAATACAAACAAATAAGTTTAACAATTATTTAGCCAAAACAAGGAATATAATGTATCAACATGATACAAACAACAAATAATTATATAAAAAAACAACTTCATCAATATTAAACAAATTATATTTATTAATAAAAAAATACACAACAAATTTTATTCACGAAATAATAAACAAACTTTAATTAATCAACCGTATAAAAAAGAGTAAGAAGGGTACCAATCATGTCCAAATAGCGAGTCAATATCTTCAGCTCTGTGGTTAACTGTATTAAGGGACAATAAAATGATGCTTCAATGATCGGTTTTTCCCAACTTTATAAAAATAAAAATATACAAATTTTCGCCTATGCATATTGGCGCGCAATATTTCAGATGTTTAACATCTGAAATTTCGGATGTTCAACATCTGAAATTGAGAAAAGTCACTGTTGTAGCCATGGTTGTTTTCGGATGTTGAACATCCGAATTTTTCACAAATTCGGATGTTGAACATCTGAAAAAAGATAAAAGTGCCTTTTAAAAAAAAAAACGTTATGGAAGATAAAAAATAGACAGGTGAGTAATAACATAAATTACTAGGTGTAACTGTAATATCGTTAATATAACAGATATGTATTTATTTTTCTCAAAGTTTTTTTATACTTCAAAGCATGTCCGATATTACAAACACAACCGCACTAAAGTATTTTCACTCTTCAAAAGTAGTTCGTTATTACAAACATCCGACCACTAATACATTAAAGCAAAACCTAAGTTGAGATTTGATGTTTGTTATATCGAATTACCCTATACATAATAGTGGGCCAAAAGTGTAGAGCAGTTGGATTGCCCCAAAATATTCAATATTTTGTACACAGGACAGCTCTGCAAAAGTTTTTTTTTTTTTTTTTAAAAAAAGGTTTGACATTTGAAACATCTAATTGGACAACCTTGAAAAAATAAGAAAATTTGAGGGGGGTAGGATTTAGTGGCGAAATTATCAAACAAAATGAACCAAGATGAAGTAAGTTACATGCATATACCTCTATATTCTGGCTATTTAAAACATCCCCTCCAACCCTTTTACATTCATACCAAATTTTTTGTTTTTTTTTTTTGACAAAATTACCTTTATTTCGGACTTTAAAAGTATGAAGTTCAACTTGGTTAAAAAACAACCTAAAAGATAACCTTTGGATCTTGAAGTTTGGAAGTTTACGCTAAACAAACAAGCTTTATTGACGGTTAACAACGTCAAAACCAAAATTCAAAACTACAAGTTCCAAAGTTTATTTTCGGGTTAACCTTTTTTGTAACAAAGTTCAATTTCGAACCTTCAAAGTTTAAAGTTTGTATTGGGTTAATTCTTTTAAGCGAACAAGGTAAATTTAAATAGGGGCAATTTAGTCGAAAAAAAAAGTGAAAATCAAGATTAGAAGGGGATGTTTCAAACAACGAAAATTTAGAAAGATATGCGTGTAAATTACTTGGAAAAAAAACCCCCCGTAATTACAACACAATTCATCCACATCTTGCTTCGTAGTTCAAAGGGAGTGTGTGGTAAAATAAAGATTTACGAGGACTGAGCTGGTGCCCGCACGTGTCGAATGGCAGGCGATCTTGGCTGTTCTGCTCTGACTCCTCCCTATAAATAATAAAAGGCGGGAAAATTGCTCACTCCCATTCGCTCTAAGCTCCCTCACTCGGTCGATAGACTCTCTCTGTATCTCTCGGGCTATGCTGAGACTATCGCCATGGGAATCAAGGTAACGCAGTTTCTTTCTTCTTTCCTGGTTCCCTAAGTTGAGCTTCACTAGTTTCACCCCTGACAAAGTTAGGGTTTATCAGCATTTTAAGGACTGCGTCTTGTTGCTTGTGTATCTAGGGTTTGACAAAGTTATTAGCGGATAATGCTCCCAATGGAATGAAGGAGCATACGTTCGAGAGCTATTTTGGTCGCAAAATTGCAATAGATGCAAGCATGAGCATATACCAGTTCTTGGTAATCATATTTGGTTTCAAATAATTATGCTATTCTTCTTTGGTAAATTTGTATTATATGGCATCATGTTTATCAATTAGGGGGTTGTGGTTTTGTCTGTTGAGTTTGGCCTCAATCTCCTTGAATCCATGGGCATTTTTTCATTTCATTGTGCGAAATTCCTTGTTTTCAAGTTAATGAATTTTAATGGAGTTAGCTTCTTCTTTTTAGATTGTTGTAGGAAGAACTGGGAGTGAAATGCTTACAAATGAAGCTGGTGAAATCACAAGGTGAGTTATTTTAGTTTGATTTGTTCACTTAGTTTTATCTTTCTAGGAGTACTTCACAGGCATTGACTTGTACTTGATATGTTATGCTGAACATTCTATGGATTTATAAAGTAATCACGAGATGCATGCTGTTCATTTGTGCAGCCACTTACAAGGCATGTTCTCTAGGACGATAAGACTATTAGAAGCTGGAATTAAGCCACTGTAATACATTTTCTAGCTCTGGTTGATTGAATGTCCACATCATTTTACTTAATGGGCTTTCTTTTTCTTTTTCTTTTTGGCAATTGAATCATTATGCTTCCTTGCTGCTGATTGATTGGTTTTGTTTACAGATATGTGTTTGATGGGAAGCCTCCGGATCTAAAGAAGGAGGAGCTTGCGAAAAGGCATGTTATGCTCTTACTTTCTTTTTTTGTATCTGTACAATAGCTCATTTAGTTGCCAGAAGGATGATTGATGTTAGTTTATTTGCAAAAATATCTCATGAAATACATGTCTGGACGTTGATAATCATTTATTCATTAGGCTCTCTAAGAGGGTGGGTGCAACAGAGGATTTAGCGCAGGCCATAGAGGTAGATTGTGGGGATTGAATGTGCTCATATGGTTTATCATTTTTTTATACCGAATTTATTTGACTATCCTGGCAACTTTTTAAAATTGCCTCTTTGGTTTTATAAATTTTGCAGACAGGGGACAAAGCAGATATTGAGAAATACAGTAAGAGAACAGTAAAGGTGATATTCTTTGTTGTTGTTTTGAGTCCTGGTTGTGATATTGTTATTTTTTGAGAAAAGACAAAGAACTAACATGAAAATCTCTAACTGAAATGCATCAATGGGACCATAGACAGTTAATGAAGCCAGTGACCTTGTCCCTAAAGAATGCAAAAGATTGGATAGCTTTACAGTATTCTGAGACCATTGGTCATGAATTCTTTTTGGAATCCAAATCCTTCCTGTGTGTTGGGATATCTTGTGACCATGTTCGATTTATTACACAGAGCATGCCTTTTTACGCATTGTTTTATGTCTACAATCACATGATCTTCAAATCCTGGCTACTGTAATTTCTCTTCCCATTGAAATATATTAAACTCTGAAAAATAGAAATGCTCATTTACTTCCTATTCCATATAGCTTGATAGAAAACTCTTGAGGTTTTATGTAGAAGATATTCACCATTTCGTAGCTAATAATTTTCAAATGTGCATGTAGTTGTTAATTTTGTCCAATGTGGTAAAGAAATTTTGGAGGCTTGGCATTTATAGGTCTAATAGGGGTCGTTTTACTTCGTTGTATACACTGGATAAACAATCAGGTGAACATTACTTAGTCAGTTGAAGAGGAAAATGTAAACAAAGTACTGCTATATTATGTGCATGTTGGAGTTGGAAGCTGTGCAAAGAAGCAATAATGAAGACCTTGTAAATAGTCTGTGATAGAGTCTATCGCCTCTCTTTTCAGTTATTCACTTTCAAGTATAAAAATCATTATTTCTGTCGTGGGGAATTCCATCATGGGACTCATTCTTCTATTCCTTCTCTTATTATTTGTGTCTGTCTTGGGGAATTCCATCATGGGAACAGAATATTATGTGCCTTCTGCTTTTTGTTTACGTCTCCTCGTTTTAATTATGCGCACCGTAAATAGTGGTATTCTTCTCGCTGTATGAGGTACAATAATTAACCAAGACAATAGTTTGTTCCTTGCATGGTCGAAATTCTTCTTCTTTTCTCTCTCTCTCTCTCTCTCTCTCTCTTTTCCTTTTTTCTTTTACATCTCACTTTAAAGTTGTTCTCTAAGGCCCCAAGAAGTGCAATTTTACCATGACTGAGTTTTCTGTGGGTTTTTCTGCTGCTGGTCTATATTTGAATATAATTAAAGGATGTTATCCTTTTGCACAGTTGGATATTTGTATCCGAAGTGTGATTTTCTTTTCCTCTCAGGTCACAAGGCAACACAATGAAGACTGCAAACGGCTTTTAAGACTAATGGGAGTGCCTGTCATTGAGGTGATACAATACAAATATATTCATGCATTTTAAAGCAAAAGTCTGCTTCATACTCAGTTTTATTGACTTTGAAAAGCACATGTGTGATTTACACTAATTCATCTTTTCCCTTGATGTATTTTAGATGATCTGTTATTTCATATTAGCTGATTCATAGGTCTGTTTAATTTGCAGGCTCCATCCGAAGCAGAGGCAGAATGTGCATCACTTTGCAAAAATGGCAACGTATGTGCAAACTTTTGCATGCCATTTCATTTGTCATGACTGTTTTGAATGATTTTATATTTTGTTATACACAATAGGTTTATGCTGTGGCTTCTGAGGACATGGATTCGCTTACTTTTGGAGCTCCAAGATTTCTTCGGCATTTGATGGATCCGAGCTCAAAGAAGGTCCCTGTGATGGAATTTGAAATTGGGAAGGTGAAACTTTTTCCCACGAGTCCTATTACCTCGAATGCTCAACTTGAACATTGCCTGGCTTTGTAACGGAATGAACTTGTCAGCAGATTTTAGAAGAGCTAGACCTCACCATGGATCAATTCATTGACTTGGGCATTCTTTGTGGATGTGACTATTGTGAGAGTATCAAAGGTAATACTATCTTGTGTTGTATATTTAAAGCTGTCTTTGCTAAGGATACAAAGTCATTTTCATATCAATTTGGTTCTTCCATTTATACCTAGATTTGCTTCTCATTGTACATTCTATCTCTTCTTATTCGTAGAAAAAAGAAACGATTTTGTCTTTTTTTCATTGGAGCAAAGGCCCTTAGCTATATGGAATATTTTTTTTTTTGTGTGCATTAAAAATTACATTCTTCCAATATGGAACTACTCCTTTTTCGGATGCTTCCACATTTACTTCTCCGTACTCTTGCTTGTTTTAGTTTCAATAGAGAAAGCCTTGCATATTGGCTAGTAGTTAAGATGTAGAAAGCTCAAAAAAGGAACTCTTTGATACTTGAAAACTTGTGTGATGAAAGCACAAAGAATGCCTTAGCATTCTGCAATTCTCACTGACCTTGTTAAATATGTTCTGAAAGTTTTGAAGCTTTATGAGAAACCCCCTATCTAATAATCTACTTACTTTTCTTCGTTCCACTAAGCGATAGCAGAGAGATGCATACTGCACTTTTCAGATAAGCACTAAAGTTGTGTTTTCCAATTTGCAAATTTACAACCAAATAAAGCTTGAGTTCTTGATGGAACTTGCCTGTTGATTGCTCTTGTATCCTAGACAATCCATGACATACTGCACGTTTGCAATTTAGACTCCTATGAACTGTGATTCTGGAAGTTTGAGATACACTCCCCATTTTCTTGCCATCTGACATAATTTCTTTGCTCTCTTGCCATGAGATTTTTATTAGTTAATGTTGGGAGATCCGTTCTTGAATGCATCTTGTAGAATCCCGAAAGTTGTCTCAATTCAACTTGTTCATGATTTGTTGAATTCGTACTGATTGGTACTTTTACTTGCATAGTCCTCGATAGATGGGATCTACATTAGAAATTGAATGGGTTCCCTAAGATAAATCAAGACTTTCAATTTTTATCTTATTTACATGTATATGTCGTATGCCGTGGTACATTTCATAGCATAAACATAAATAAGATCATGAGCCAGTATGAAATTGAGTGAAATTTTGCAAAAAAATACCCCACCTGTTTTTGTTTCCCAAGAAGAGATGGGGAACATGCTCAATATCATTTGATTGAATAGTTGCCTCGGCTCCTTGTTTGAAGAAACCCTCCACTTCAATTGGTATTTTTTCACAAAAAACAAGCTTGAGATAACAAATAAAGTGTTTAACAAAGATTTCGAATTTGTCCCGAATTCAAGTTGATTATGTTTCGCTTCTTCCCTAGAGAAAGACGATCAAACAATTCCAAATCATGGTCCTTGCGGATCAGATCCTCTGTATCCCTATAGGATACAAAACGATACTCCATATATTTGATATCTTTCCGTTTGAATGAGATCTCAATTCCAGCTGGTAAATGGAATATACAGAATTGGTGATCGATCAAATATTGCAAAGCACTGGTATTTATTACAGTTCAGAATTGGACCAAAACTGGATTTCTGTTTATTCTGGCACCATATTATCAGATTGGGGAGGAAGATTAGAATTAGAGATTGATAGAAAAGCAAGGATATGGGCCCAAGTGAGCAAGAAACAAAAAATTTATATTCTAGTTCTCCCACCAGCTATGGGTTTGAATCTAAGAGAAATTCTAGACAATGTTTGCTACCCGGAAATTTTATTGTATTTCCTGAGTGAGAAAGAGACTTTGCCCATATCTGCATGTTCTTCAATTATGTTTATACCTCCGAGAGGAAATAAAGCGGTTTGGTGGTACACTATATGTATATGGTTATTGTAACTTCAAATGACCTATGTATTTTGTTATAATTTCCAATTGGACAATCCATCAATACAATTGGAAGATGGTTCTAACTGGATAAATATTTTTGATTTTCACTGGAGACTAGGAATTGATGGACTTTCCCATTTTATTGACGCGATGCATCACTACTTTAGCTACTTTAGCGGCTTGGCCAGTTACTTGAAATTCACGATTATCCCATTTGTCGATGTTAGCAATGTATAGCGGTTTAGTGTATATTGTATTAGTAATTTTTAGATGTTTGATTTTTCATATTCATAGTACTAATATAATATATCCTATAACATATTTTGGAATGAATTTACATCGTGTGGAATATGAAATATTCTATTCAATTCAACAACTATATATTAAATTGAAGGGAAGATATGACTCAGAGAACAATTATGAGAAATTAGAAAGAAAAATCAGAAATTCGGATTAGATCACATTGTATCCGATATGAAATATGAACTTTAAATTGTGATTATGGAGTAACATGTAGTCTTTGAATGTTACGTCATGAGTCTGGGTCATGCCTATTTGGCATTTTGAGTTTTATTTATTTAGTTCAATGAATGGCATGTAATGGATTAATTTATTTTACTTCTTAATTGTTAGCCTCTTAGAGAAGAATAGACACAACAAACTATGTTACCCTTTATCAAACAACTTAAACAACTACTATATTAGTACTAAACTAAACTGCCTACTATCGCATAAATCATGGCCGCTTGGTGCATCGGAACCCCCCACCTTATCGACTCCACATCCCACTGTTGATAACATTGATGCTGTTGAGTGACACTTTGTGCTTTTCTGTGTTATTATGAGTGATTCATTTCTAGTTGTTCAGAGGTTACTGGTACTTTGTTATTTAACTGCTTAGTGCATGGGTTTTTTGGCTTTGGATAACATTGGGATTCAGATGACTGTAGTTTCTCTCAAGGTAGAAGATGCTGTTATGGGCTGTGACTTTCATTATTGGGAGAATAGTACTGGAGTTAATTCAAATTGAATTCATATTTCTTGGATTAAATCTTGTTTTATGTTGTCATCTTGAAGTTCTAAATTCATATTTTCAGAGTGGCATTAAAAAATATTTATCTTCTAGACTTCTGTGTTCTCTGTCCTTAAGGGAACTACTTTTAAATGGTTTCCGTGTACCATGGTGTTATGGATGTATAAGACATTCTTCTCTGTATGGATTATTGAACAATTTTCTTACGGCTCTGACACTCTATTTGTTTGAACCATCAAACATTTTTCTGGCATGCTTGGTAGTGGTTGACAAAGCTCATGATAACCAGTGAGTCGTGCCTACTGTTTTTGCTATGCTATGCTTAATATCACAGCTAAGTAATTCAATTTCTCTATGTTTCTTTTATAGGTATTGGGGGACAGACTGCTTTGAAGCTCATTCGTCAGCATGGATCAATAGAAAATATCTTGGAGAACATCAACAAAGAGAGGTACTGCTTAGTTCTCGTCATTTTAGGTTATGCATTAGTAAATATTTTATGGGGTGTATGAGTGTATGTTAATTTTATCGTTTTAGGTTGTGGATTATTAATGGCTTTAAACTGTAATATTCTTGGTGGGCCTATGTGACAAAGCCTCATACATGAAGGCAGTATGGTAAGAATGGGATGATTGGGATGGGGATCACAATACATTGGCTTGTCATTGTGAATCTTTGTATTTTTGAGATATGTTCTGCTTGTTGAACTCCAATTTGTGTTCGTGTTCCTTTACAAATTCTAACCTGTACATTAATAATTGTTGGAGTTTTAAGGAGTTGTTTTGCATATTGTCTAAGCTGCTTTAGTTTCAAATGAACTCTCTATCAAACTAGAAAATTATGGGCAACATTAAGTTCTGAAGTTGGATTTTTTGGCAATGAATGATGTTTGGGTCTACTTATTTAGAAGTTATTGTTTACCCCTTTCGATGATTAGGGATTTACATGGATGTCAGGGATGTTTTGTTTGGATCTCGTGAAGGTCCATATCTGAGCCTGAAAATACAGTTTGACAGGTGATATCATTTGGGGCTCAATCTAAAGAATACCCTCTTAGTTTTTCTAAACCCACAGTAATTTTTTTCTAAACCCACAGTGATATCTGTTGAGCCTGATGATCCACTGGGCTCTTACGATGACTCGTAAGACACGGCTCCAAACCCTGTTGCTGACAAACTCTTTGATACAATGGTGGCCATATTTCGTCCTACCCCTGAGGATGGTCTGCCTCCGTTTGGGTTACTCAAAGCCCCCCTTTCTCTCTTCCCTGCCCTACTCCCCTGAGGACAGGAAGCATTTTGCTCGATAGCAGTGCCAGCTCTGCACAGGGGTCCTCCACCTCTTCTCGCACTCCAGTCTCGGTGACATCTTCTTTTGTCGACCGAATGGATGAAGCTCAGGGCAAGATTCAATGTATTACGTAGGTGATGGGCTTCCCCCATACCGGCCTGGAGGGGCCTTTTCAAGACTTTTTCAGGGCAGACTTACTCTCCAGATCGAAGGTGAGTAGAAAGGGTAGCCGGGAACTAGCTAATCTAGCCTTTGACATCTCCTACGACCGCTCTATTCCTCTATCTCTCTCTTTTCCTAACCTTCCACTTTCACTCTCCCCGAGTGGTTCAGTAGTCAGGCGTTCCCCTAGGAACCTCCCTCTTAACCCCAGATTTTAATGTTAATCCCTTCTTGGAACATTGGAGGTCTAGGATTGCCCTTCAAAAAGCAATCTATTAGAGATCTTTGCCTCGAGCGTCACCCTACTATTCTGCTCATTACCGAAACCAAACTTCCTGCCCTCACTCTTCAATAGGTCTGACAGGTCTGGGGTGGAAGACCTTGTCATTGGGAGGCTCTTCCAGCCGAAGTGGCTTCAGGTGGAATTTGGGTCATTTGGGACCCTTTGGAGCATGACTTATCCTCCTCGGTTATAGCTTCTTTCTCTGCCACGATAAGAGGATCTCTGACGCTTTGCTTTGGAAATTCTCCGTGGTGTATGGCCCTAACCAAGATACTCTAAGGCCCAATCTTTGGGACGACCTTAACTTTGCTGCAACCCTACCCACTCCTTGGTGGTGTGTAGGAGGGGATTTTAACGTTACCCGATGCTCTTTCGAGTGTAACTCCTCTAGAATCACACTTGCTATGAATCTCTTCTCGGATTTCATTTGCAACAACTATCTCATTGATCTCCCTATCCAAGGAGCTTAGTTCACGTGGTCTAACCACTCCTCTTCACCCTCTCTTTCCAAATTAGACAAATTCCTCATTTCTGTTGAATGCTACCTTTGTGGGATCTCATGTTATTGCCTTACCTAAACCCACATCCGATCACAGTCCTCTGCTCCTGAACACTGAAGCCTCTCCTAGAGGACCTAAGCCTTTTAGATTTGAGCTTTCCTGGCTACAAGAAAGGACGTTGACTCCTGCCCTCCCGGTATGGTGGGCGTCTCTTTCGCAAACGGTGTTCGGGTGGGCAGGTTTCAAATTACAGCGCAAACTCCAACTTCTTAAAGCCCAGCTGAGAACTTGGAGTTCATCTTTATCAGGTTCTTTCGCGGCCCAAAAACACCTTACCTTGGAGGAAATCAGACTTCTAGATGTGGAGTAGGAATCTTGCATTCTACTCCCATCTGAAGCCCAGCGTAGAACCTCCCTCAAGCTTCACAATCAAGCCATTCTCAAGAAAGAAGAGATCGATTGGGCCCAAAGATCCCGGGTCAAATGACTCAAGGCTGGTGATCTCAATACGGGCTTCTTCCATAAGCCGGCGAACTGCAGGAGAAGGGATAATTGTGTCTCACACATCAGGGTAGGCGACAGATACCTTGATCAACCAGCTCAGATTGACGAAGCAGTGGTTAACTTCTTCACTGATCTCTTCTCGGCTCCATCTCACCCCAAACCTGCAATGGGAGATCTCCAATTTAGTATGCTTCCTCCTGAAAAAGCGTCTGGGCTGGAGAGAATGTTCTCTGAGGAAGAAATCCTCGCTGCCATTTTTAGCCTGGCAGTAGACAAAGTGCCGGGTCTGGACGGATTTCCCATAGCTCCCTTCAAAGAGTTTTGGGAATCCTTTCGTCTCGATTTTTTAGCCCTATTCTCTGAATTCCATGCCAGAGGAGTCATTCACCATGCTATGAATGCCATTTTCATAGCACTATTTCCAAAGATAGAAGGAGCAGAATGCTTGAAGGACTTTCGCCCCATTAGCTTGGTACATTCTACTTACAAGATTATCGCTAGGTCCTAGCTTCCCGTTTGAAAGAAGTTTTGCCATTGGTTATTTCCGCCACCCATTCGGTCTTTATCGATCATCAGATTTTGGACGGAGTTCTTGTAGCCCATGAATGCGCTCACTTGCGTCATATCGCCAAAATCCCAGGCCTCAGTCAAATTGGACTGGGAAAAGGCATAGGACCATGTTGATTGGGCAATCCTCGAAGAGACCCAACTGAGGATGGGGTTTAGAAGTAGGTGGAGACTTTGGATGAGTGCCTGTTACACCCAACCCTACTTCTCAATCCTCATTAATGGGTCCCCAAAAGGCTTCTTCCCCTCCACTAGGGGCTTCCGCCAAGGGGACCCTCTCTCTCTTTTCCTTTTTGCCATCGCAGGAGAAGTGTTCAACAGATCAATCTCTAGGATGTTTGCTGCGGGTCTGTTGAATGGCTTCTCGTGTGGTAACAACGGCCAGATTGTTTACAATATGTAGATGACACTTTGGTCTTCTGCAATGCTTTACCGGAGGAAGTAGACTACCTTTTCCTTTTCCTTAGATAATTCGAATATGCAACTGGTTTTAGGGTGAATTTTAAGAAAACCAAAATGATTGGGGTGTCGGTTGCTCCTGAAGAGGTCAAAGCTTTTTCAGATAGTTGGGGCTGCGAGGCCGAGGAACTTCCCTCTACCTACTTTGGACTACCCCTTTGTGTAGGTAAACCAAAGAAGAAGCTATGGTCAAACATCTTGGATAAAGTTGACTGCAAATTCGCAGGTTGGAAAGGGAGGTTCCTATCACCAGCAGGCAGACTTAGTCTTATTAAAGCCACTTTGGCAAATATCCCAATGTACCAGATGTCCCTTTTCAGCATGCCTATTGTTGTGGCACAAAGAATCAAGAAACTTATTCGTAGATTCTTTTAGGCTGGGGATACTTCTAATCACAAATTCCATTTACTGGGATAAGCTTTGTAAACCCGAAGAGGCTGTCTGGTCTGGGGATCAGAAATCTAAGGCACCACAATTTCACCCTCCTCGGTAAATGGTGGTGGAGACTGTTGACCCTAAGGGGTCAGCTGTGGGTAGACATACTTAGGTTTAAATACCGTATCCCTTCTTCTCCTTGGCTACTCGAGTAGAAATATTATCCCAGGGCATCGTGGATGTGGAAGACTATCACTAAATCATTTCATCTCTTCTCCGAAGGGATCAGATTTCAAGCCAGAGAGGGAAACAAGATTCGGTTTTGGTCGGACCTTTGGATAGGTCAGCAGACTCTAAAAGACCATTATCCGAAACTCTTCTCCTTGGCACGCCACCAAAATGCATACATAGCTGAAGAGATTAATCTTGAAGATGGTTCAACATCTTGGAACCCTCTTTTCAGAAGAGATCTTTCTGATCTTGAGTTTACATCATTCTTAGAGCCAGTACATACCCTTGCCTCTTATTTCTTTCTACACCACGGTGGAGACAAAATCATCTGGGCACCTGCTGCCTCAGGTGGCTTTTCAGTCTCATCTCTCTCCTCTTTCATCTCCCAACCACCTACTTTTCCTTTAAACCTCACCTCTTTTGCCAACCAAGCTTGGACTTCCTTGGCGCCTCCAAGACTTAAAACTCTTCATGCGGGTAGCACTACATTCATCATAAATTTTTGGAAGTATTATGTTGAAATTTCTGGCATGGTGAATAGATCAACTAGTTTTCTATTGTGGTGTCTACATGATCTGGAGTGTGGCTAAGGATTTGTAGGATTCATCATCTATTGGAAGTCCTTATCTTTTGTATGACCACGTTGATTTAATCGTGGCATTAGCATCCCATACTTTGTGTTTTCTGACTCATGCCTTGTTCAGTGCAGATATGTGATACCTGAGAATTGGCCTTATCAAGATGCTCGGTGTCTTTTCAAAGAACCGTTGGTTTCTCCTTTAGAAGATCTGCCAGAGGTCAAGTGGGCTTCTCCAGATGAAGAGGTGTCTTGTTATGTTCTGTTTATTATCTGATTCCTTGATTCCTACTCTGCCTTCTCATTAGTGGGATTATGTTTTCTATGCTGCTTTTGAATCATAGGGCCTCAGCACCTTCCTTGTGAAGGAAAATGGATTTAACCAGGATCGAGTGACAAAGGCATGTTCTCTACATTCATACAATGTTATCACTCTTCGATAATTTACTCAAATTTATTTGTTCAACTGACATTGTTCATCTTTACAGGCAATAGAGAAGATCAAAGCAGCCAAGAATAAATCATCCCAGGCCCGGTACGTATACAACCATACCATTTTTTATTAGTATGTTAATGTTTGATTGGTCTGATTTTGTGTTAGTTTTATGCAGTTTGGAATCCTTTTTTAAGCCTGTTGTAACCACAGCAACACCAATTAAGAGAAAGGTATGTCTTCCTCTTGAGAACACATTTAAGCCTAGAGTTTTTATTTGCATTGAGCTGTTGAATTCAATACTAAGGTCCCCTTAAGCTAAGCATTTGAATTTTATTTATTGGGTTTGAAGTTATATACAGCCTGCTAGTCATGATTACCTGCACACAAGTTGATTATATATATGTATTTACCAAATCTTCTACTCAGTGTTAGAAACATGGACTTTGGGTTGGGACACGTTGGGGTCTCTATCCTGGGTCAGGCCTGACAAAGTCGTCCTAGTCTGTCAGAGACTTGGATGGGTCCAAATAAAAAAATGATAAAAATAATAGTAACTCGCCACACTAGGGCAGTTCCCATGTATATTGTTCTAGGCTTAGCAGCTTACTGGGCCCGAGTGACTTAGGCAAGTCTGAGTGAACTTGCCTGAGTCTCGAACACTGCTTCTAATGAATGTATTGGAGTTTTTTTTTTTTGTTAGAAAATGGATCTGTGAAGTGGATGTGTTGGATATTTTGTGCTTCAGTTTTTATTATAGAGTGAATCTGTGAAGTTTAAGTATGTCATGTTACTTCAAGGTTAAGTATGTCATGTTACTTCAAGGGAACAAAGTATCTTTGTGCCTCATGGAACTCCAAGCTTTGTGCCAATTGTAAAGATCGATCTTATGTTTATTTGTCATTAATGGAGCTGTGTTAAATATGCTCCTCTGACTATGAATGGCCTCTTGATATGTTTATTTGTCATTAATGGAGCTGTGTTAAATATGCTCCTGTGACTATGAATGGCCTGAACTGATTTACTGTGGGTTGTGACTGATTTGGGCATGTTAGCTGTGATACTATGTTTTAGTACGCTATGGCACCCAAATATGATATGCATTTAGGCATGGATAGATTTGGTTTGCAACATTTGACAAGTTGTAAAAGTCTTTATACTTATAGAAATTATAATATCGTTCTACATATGCTTATAAAATGCTCAATCATTGGGCTTGGTGTCAGATATATAAAACATGAAAACTTTGAAAATTGAGTCATTAGATACATCTACATGATATGTTTGTGGTAGCACACATCGGTATTATATAACAATTTAAGAATAAAATTGAAAATGTCATAAAATTTGTAAAGAATTTAAAGCTAAAAAAAATAAAATTATGGGAATTAAAATGACATTATCATATTGTGATGCCTTTTCGTATTTCATATCTAGATATTCTCAAATACAACAACGCTGTTATTGTATCACTAATTATCATAGAAAAATTATCAAACCACACCTAAAAGCACCAAAGATATCAACTATTCTAACTCATGATTATGTGTCCTTCGATGGGCTTTTCAAAATTACATCAAAAGAAATGGGTGAGATGTTAAATAATTCATCACTTGGGTCCTTTTTGAAAAATTTCCCAAGAAAAATTTGTAGCTTCTCACATTGTGATAAGCTATGTTCGTATAAATTTGACTTCTCAGAAAGTATACAATAATGCTGTTTTTGGTACAAGAAGGTCTCAATCCCTTGAGCGTCAGATGTGAAATCTGGTGGCTGGGGGTGCCATTGACCATGCTTGATGTTTGAGTGAATTTTGCTGATACATGACAGACCCCAGCTTTCTGTTTTTAGATCTGGTGGCCTGTGGTGTTTGTGACCTTTGTGTACGAAAGGTAATGGTCTTGTTGTATACAATCCCTATATTTATGTATGTCTATTTATGTACATATTCTATGTTGTCTGCATCGGAGATTTGTACCAATGGCTCTATGTCCATTATCTTGTGGAGATTGGATGTATACCTCTTTAGTATGGTTTTTGTTGAAATAATTGGTCTCATTATGTGCTTTTCTATTGGAATACCTCTTTAGTTTGACAAAAAACCTGAGAAAATGCCCCTATAATGTTAAATATTGTCATGTACTCATGTTGAGTTCATAGCTCAAACCAAAATGCATCTAATATTTAGTCTAGCTCAAACCAAAATGGGTCTAATATTTAATCTCCCCCCTCAAAAAACAAACAATACATTTTGGGCAGTGCTTAGAAGTTAGTAGGCTCTAAGCAGGAATGGTTTTTGCTAGAACATTTGTGGCAATGAAATGCAAAAGGGTGCATTCCAATTATCGTGACCTTGTTAAATTTGATCTAAACTTTTGAAGTACCTTTCCTGATTGTCTTCCTCTTTTTCTATTGTCCACCTTGTGGCAGGAAAAGAGATGCATACTTGGTTCAGCACCAAAGCTGAAATTGTTTAATTTACAAGTGCAGAACCGCATAAAGCCTAAGGTCAATGGAGGCTTTTGCCTGCTGAAGGCACATATCAATCCGAAACACTCCAGAATTTTCTCTTGGGGTGTGTCCCTCGGTGCATAAAGCTGAGACTTAGTGAAAAGCATTATTGGCATAGGGCATCATAGAACATAACTTCCCTTTCTATATATGAAGGTTTCCTTCTGTCTGTAGTTTATGTTACTCTTATTAGAGGAAATGACAATATTTGATCAACTTGATGGGGCATTGTTTTGTGTGTAATGTTTAATTCTATGTAATTTTAAAACTTGTAATATACTAAAATAATTGTGGAAGGAGAAAAACCTGTGGATGCTTTGTTAAATGAGTAATGTCTTTTCTAATTGGTTCTATCTCTACTGCCATATATATTGGATGATGTTACAAGATCCAGCTGTCTTTGACATCGTTCTTGACGGATAAGAATGCTCGTTCCTGTATCCATATCTTGTGACTTACACTGACATTTATGCATGTGTCAACTTGGGTGTTGTTGAAATCAGTAAAGTGGTTCCAGACATTGACTTTGAAGGTCAATTGTCTGGCAGACCTGAGCTGTTTTCACAAGCATTGTAACACAGGCAGCTTTTGAAGGATGTTAACTTTTGAGCGGGATATTCATTTGGGTGATCTAAAGCTTGAAGCGGAGATTTCTTTGAGATCTTCGACCTTGACCTATATTGATTTTTTGTAATTTAGACGTGTCAGTCTTCTAATTGTGGTTCAAAACCTACTGAAAAAAATTGTTATGAATTTAGTTTCTTAAATGTTAGGTTCTTTCTTTGCATTGTTGAGTCATTGTTTGGGTTTTGATTTTAGTTTCCTTTAAGTTTTTAGGTTTTTGTAAAAGTAAGGTTCCAATCCTCTTTGGATTAGAAATGTTTGAGTTGCATGGTTTTGTAGAGTACAGGGCAACTAGAATTGGGAACTCTCTATAAATATCCATGTAGGTCTAGGGCCAATTCATATTCAAGTTAAGAAATAAAAGTGGGTGAGAGGCCACCTTTATAGAAGGATTAGTACACACGTTTTGTAGGGAGAGTGATTCTATAATTCTAGTTTAAGATTGGGCGAGGCTCCTCAACAAATTAGTGCCTTTTTCTCCCTTTCGTATGGTCAAATTGGGAAATCAACTTGATTAAGACTTCAATTCCAATCACAGTTCCTAATCTAACTAGTGTTATCAAATGCAATATGGATTCGGAGCCCTTGGGTGGTCCTTACGATATATGGCTTCAATGCATTCTTGATGCGGGTGCATCACCGCTGATCATCATCATCATCGTCAAAGCCTTTTCCCAGCAACTTGGGATCGGCTACACGAATCATGGTGTGCCATTCTGCTCTATTAAGGGCCATACCATACCCTCAGTGGGGTCATAAATCCCCACATATTTTCTCACTACTTCTCCCCATGTCCTTTTGGGCTTACCCCTTGCCTTTTTCGAGCCCTCCACTTGAACTAACTTGCACCTCATAACAGGTGATGTACTAACTTGCACCTCATAATAGGTGATGTACTGGGTCTGCGCCAGTGGTATAAAAAACATATCGGTGCCCTGAATCGGGCACCCCAAAAACCCATCCGGATTGGTGAATCGGTGTTTCGGATCGGGAATCGGTCGGATTCGGCCATAAAAAAAAGTCCAAAAAATTTATTAAAAATCATGCTAAATGTTGCTTTTTAGGAATCCAATAAGAAATAGGGGTACTATATTAAGAACTTTCATTTTTTTTGCATCAATATGCGAATATTGAGATGTTATTTCCTTGTATGAATAAATTTAAAATTTGCCTTATAATATCACTTAATTTTTAAATTTTTTTATTTGTAGCTATAATAAAAATAATACATTATATAATTTATAATATAAATAAATAAACAAATAAAATACAAGATTTTGTTATCAATGTATAATTATTAATTATAATATTGTAATAAACATGATTCAAAAAACAAAGGTGTGACCCTTACAAATAAATAAATCTACAAAAGTATAGAATTTAGAAACGTAAATTTATAATTACATTATAATAAAATTAGAAAAATAAATAAATATCATAATTGCAGTGTGGGATAATTGAGAAAGCAACTTTAAAATAGATTTTGAAGTGGTTTGAGTCAGTGTTATTTTTTTCTCATAAATATCTCATAAACTAGTAATTTGTTTTAATGGTCAATAAACTAGTATTAATATTATTTTTGTTGTTCTAATATCCTATGAGCTAGTACTATATTTTTCTTTTAATCTCTATTACTAATATCTAATAAGGGGGTTATTTTTTAGGGAAAGGTTTCTATACTTCCCCTACAGCATAGAAGATCTATGCTTCCCCTACCATCTAGCTGTCCAATTTGATCAAGAGAGCCACTCACCGTTTGATCTTAGATCCGAAGTTTCAAAGTATTTTATTTTTACTTTTTTTTTTATACAAATTGTATGAATATGAAATTTGGTACGTGTCATCTTTTCATTGGGGCGCACCTATTAAAAATAATTTTTCGATAAAATATTATGACCAAAATGCCCCTTGAAACTTTTAGGGGTATTTTGGTCATTTTATTTCATTGGAAATTATTATTTTTTATATTTTTTGCTGGTGCGAGTTTAATAGAGGATTGGACGTCCAAACTTTGGTGTCAAAATAGTTTATAGAAAAAAAATTAAGAATAAAATAGTGTAAAGACGTGACATTGTGATTGAGGCAATCTTAGCCCTCCATTCAGAATGGACGGTTGGATAAGGGGTAGTATATAAGTTTTATGCTGTAGGGGAAGCATAGAATGCTTGCCGGTTATGTTTTATAGCAGAAGGGCTTAATTTTAATTTTAATAGTGGACTTTATTAATGCCAAGAGACAATAGACAAAAATTTCCCCTACATCGAAAAGATGTGGGAGCAGTTTACCATATAAAAGAAGCGCTATGGGATGAAGGAGATGGTACAAGGTCACCTGCGTGATTTGCTGGCATAAAAGACAAGTGAGTGATGACTTTAATTTGCTTGCATAAAAGACAAGTGATTTGCTGGCAAAAAAGACGAGGGAGTGATGACTTGATGACGTCAGAATCATTAAGCATAAAAAACAAGGCCGTTTGCATCAGAGTTTTTCAATAGAAAAGGCCAAAAAAAAATGGAACCACCCGGATTATGTTTTATTAGTTGATCCAGACAGTATCACCACTACTCGATCCAAATCGGATTGGCGATTTTTTAAACACTGGTCTGCATCATACAACTAGCCCACCTAAGTTTACTTTCTTTCATCTAATTGTCTATTGGTGCCACCTAAATTTTCCTGAATGCATTCATTTCAAATTCTATCTTTTCTTGTCTTTCCACTCATTCATCTCAACATCCTCATCTCCGCTACAGTCATTGTATGGATCAATGTTTAAAAAATTGTCGATTCGATCCGGAATCGGGCGATCCGAATCGGGTATCGGTAATACCATTTCGGATCCAGTAATAAAACGGGATCCAGACTGTTCCATCTTTTTTTGGCTTTTTCTATTGAAAAATCCGATGCGGGCGGCCTTGCCTTTTATACTTAATGATCTCAACGTCATCACTGCCTCGTCGTTTATGCCAGCAAATCAAAGTCATCACTCCCTCATCTTTTATGCCAGCAAATCATGCAGGCGGCCTTGTACCATCTCTTTCATCCCATAGCGCTACTTTTATATGGTAAACTGCTCCCACATCTTTTTGATGTGGGGCAAATTTCTGTCTATTGTCTCCTGCCATTAATAAAGTCCACTATTAAAATTAAAATTAAGCCCTTTTGCTATAAAAAACCCATTATTAGATATTAGGCATTAGGCTATTGGTTAATAGAGATTAAAAAGAAAAAAATAGTATTAGCTCATAGGATATTAGAATAAAAAAACATAATATAATAATATTAATACTAGTTTACTGACCATTAAAAAAAAATTACTAGTTTATGGGATATTTTAAGAGAAAAAAATAACACTAGCCCAAACCACTTTAAAATCTATTTTAAAGTTGCTTTGTCAATGATCTCACATTGCAAGTATGATATTTATTTATTTTTCTGATTTTATTATAATGTAATTACAAATTTACGTTTCTAAATTCTATACTTTTGTAGATTTATTTATTTGTGAGGGTTGCACCTTTGTTTTTTGAATCATGTTTATTACAATATTATAATTAATAATTATATATTGATAACCAAATCTTGTATTTTATTTGTTTATTTATTTACATTATAATTTATATAATGTATTATTTTTATGATAGTTGTAAATAATTGTAAATAATTTTTTTAAAAAAATTAGATGATATTATAAGACAAATTTTAAATTTATTCATACAGGGAAAGAACATCTCAATATCATATTGATGCAAAAAAATGAAAGTTCTTAATGTAGTACCCCCATTTCTTATTTGATTTCTAAAAAGCAACATTTATAATGATTTTAATAATTTTTTTGGATCTTTTTTAAGGCCGAATCCGACCGATTCCCTATCCGAAACACCAATTCACCAATCCGGATGGGTTTTTGGGGTGCCCGATCCGGGGCACCGATCCGTTTTTTAAACCACTGCTATGGATATATTCTTTTTTGACCGCCCAACATTCCGCCCCATAGGGCAAAGCTGGTCTTACAATTGTCTTATAGAATTTGCCCTTCAGCTTTATTAGTATGTGTCGATCGCATCTCCACTTCACCCACCCAACTCAAATTTTATGTGTAGCATCTTTTTTAATCTTGCATGTTTCCTGGATTATCGACCACATTTTTGGGTATTTCCTTGCCGTCAAACGCATCTCCTCTGATGCAGTCAAATTAAATCATTGTAAAAAATTGTAAAATATATAAAAATGTGTAGAAAAATATAAAAATGTGATTCATGTGATACTAGGCATTTAAATTTACTATTTATGTTTTTCATATTAGTTATTTGAGTCAGTTTGTTTCCTTTATCATTCTCTATATTCTAATACAATGAACATGTAAAAATAAAGTAATCCATTCCATTCACTAAATTAAGTAAATAATCTCTCCGCCAAATAGTCACGAGTCTCAAGGCTCATGGCATAGCATCCAAAGACCAAAGGTACTTCATGAGTACAATTCACAGGTAAATATTGACATCTTATCTCCGAAGTCTAAACTTCAAATACCAAATGTTCATGACATATAAAATCCAATAGATAATAAATACATTCAATGTCTCGACTCTCAACTCTCAATCAGGTGAGTCGTGCTTGGTCTATCCTCTTCCAGAAACCTTCAAAACATACGAAAAACACTTTCACATGATCTATTGCAAAAGCCACATTTTTTTTTTTTAGAACTTCTGATTCAAGAATTATTTCAATTGCCTAAGTAGAAATCCCCTTAGAACCATGTAAAAATGTTTACTAAGGGGTTTTCGGGGGGAGGGAGGGGGGGGGGGAGCATATACCCCCACAAACCCTTCCCCCCTTTTCGGAGGGGTAGGCGAGATCATATTAATCCTAGTCGTCGCCTACTGTTACCCAAGAACTGTGCCCACTGTTACCCAAGAACTGTGGGCATATGTGGGTGCATCACCAAATCTCACATTTGCTGGGTCCCTTCTTGCGGTGCAGGCTGTATAATGCTTTATGTGGCCATAATGCTTGCTGCGGCCATATAAAGCGTTCTGCTCTGGCATTTGATAAAAATGAACCCAACCGGAACTCCTAACACTTTTTTCCATTTCCATACAAGCCCACCAAAGGTTGATAGACTCGTGTAGGGTCCAATTACATTGATTCTACCTCACAATGTGAACAATGAATTTACATTCATAATCAATTGTTATTGCCTATTTACTGTTGGCTTCTTTATTTTTCCCAGCTAGTGCCACCATATCTGTAAGTCATGAGCATTTCTCCTATACAAGAACTTTCCTTTTTCTTTTCTATCCTCGAAGATTTTTCTGTATAGCAGAACATAAGATATTTATTTGCGTTTTTTGGGTGGCTGAGCATGTATTATATAGTTTTGCTTATTATTTCTTCCAAGCGGTTGGTATGTTACCTATTCGTTGGTGTTCTTGATTTATTCTTTGCCATGCCATTCTAAGTACTATATTATTTGGATTTGCTTCTGAATCCACAATCATGTAGGAAGTGCCTGCCAAGCCTGTAAAAGAAACTACAAACAAGAAATCCAAAGCTGCTGGTGGGAAAAAGAAATAGAGGAAATGGATATGAAAGTTGAGAATTCTGCTCTCTTGTTGTGGGTATTTCTTTTTATTCTTTTTTTTTTAATTTTATTTCTTTTTTGCTCTATCCATATTTTTTAAATTCTATGGGTGGCAAGAATTCCTTTAATTTCATCTCTCTCTCTCTTGAATAGGTGGCAAGAACTTCCTTGGGAAATTTGCAGAAAATTATCAAAAAACAGGGTTGCATGGCTATATTTTGGTGTTAGATGTGGTCTCCCTTCTTGGTAATCTTTAGTCTTTTCTGAACTGCTATGTAGTTGGTTTCATGCATCGGTGAGAACTGGAATACATGCATACCTGGCCTCGGGATGTACTTAAATTTAGACATGGCCATGAAGATGTGGGTTTGGAATTGCACAAAGAGAGGGTGCGACAATGTCGAGAAAGATATTGGGTGTCGAACTGATTCCTTGTATCAATGCCATCTTATTCCCTGTATCATTGAAATGAAGATGTGGACTTCCATTTTTGCTTTGCAGTTTAGCAATACTGGTGGTATCTGAAACCATTACTTAGTGAGATTTTTGTACCTTTTTTTGTGTGGAGAATGTTTACAAATACTATATACTTTTTGTACAAGAAGGTCACAATCCCTCATGTCTCAAGGATGAGTGGTTATAAGAGTGTTATTGATTAGACATAAAGTTCCAAAAACAAAAACTTTCGGATTTCATGACTCATTCAGCCAATTTGACATCTAAAATTTGAAGAATAGTTGTGAACTCCTTGTGTACATAAGGTAAACATATGATCTTTTTTGTGTGAGCATACCTTCCACCCCATGCACTCACGCTGGATTTATTTCTCATTATGATCAAAATTTCTGACTTGGGGGCCTAGTATTAAATTCCTATTGCATCTCTGTCTCATTATGAAAATTTTTGACTTGGGGGACCTAGTACTAAATTCCTATTGCATCTCTGAGTCAGTAGGATGCAAACGATGTTATTTGATTGAAACCATGAACCCCACTAGAAAACCGGTTTCATTTTTTGAGAAGCAAAACCGTAGTCAGGACGAATATTTGTTGTAAGTAAATAGAAAAATATAGTATGATATCATTTTCTCTAATTTAAAGAAGGAAAAAGCTGGTGTAGGTCCATTAGCCTATTACATATGAGTCCAACGGTTTAGATTGAATCTGGTCGATTCAATGGTTACGATTGTATTTCGTATTTGATTTTTAATGTTTTTTTTTTATTATATATAAATTCAATTCATTTGAAATTTTGAGTTTGTTTTTTAAAAATAGTAGAATCTAATAAAAATATCAAAAAAATAATTTGTAAAAAATAAATTGATTAAAATATCATCGAAAAATTTTAAGGTATTGTAGTAAATTTATATTTTTTGAATTATTATTTTTAATATTTTATTAGATTCTCATTGATGAGAAAAATAGATGTTTAAAATTTTAATTGATTTGGATTTATAAAATAAAAAAATAAAATTAAAATATAAAATGAGGTCATATATGGCCGATCGGTTCAAATTGAATATTTGTTTGTTGATTCATATATAGTTGTAGGTTAATGGGTCTATACTAGCTTTTTCTTTTAAAAAAAATATTATATGTGAGGCATGAGAAATTTGTTACAAGACCTTTATCTTCAATTAGTGAAGAAAGAGGAAAATTGGATGAGGCTGGCAGACCCATAATGCTGCTAAACATTTTACTTCCCTCTGAAAAAGGGCAAAAAAAAAAGAAAAAGAAAATAAAAGGATTTTTCAAGCTTTGTTTAGTGTGAGCCGGCCGACCATGTTGAATTTAGACCAATTCATGGGTGATTCCCAGGGAGGATCTTTAGTTTGAATACTATTAGATTTCAAATGGCGCATGCAATCTCTTTTTTCCTCGTTTCCTTTTCTTTCATGAGATGTCAAAAGTTTACCTTTTACAATGTATTCTTCGTGTGGCAAGTTACTAGGTGGTTCTGCAGGTTTCGTGATGAATTTATTTGGTGCAGCCAGTGTTTAAAAAAACGTCGTCCGGTTCGACTCGGGAATCGTCATGGACGAATCGAATCGGTGAAAAAACCGGGAAACGTCCGGTTATAGAGAGAACAGGACGATTCTGTACAGTGACTCGCCGATTCATGGTACGGAATCGGCGAGTCCCGTACGGAAGAACAATTTTTTTTTTTTTTTTG